GGGGGGGGTAATGAGTGTGTGTAGGAACGCATGTGACTTACGCAACTCTTTAACCTTGAGGTATTCACTATAATTAGGCCACTTCCAAGTTCCCTAAGGAATGTTCTGAGAATTAGGACATTTAACGATAAGCAGAGAGTTTGAAGAGTTGGAAATGAATGGACACCGATGAATTTAGAACAGTGTTCACGAACGAAAAACTTTTGCAAACAACATTTTACCACAACCCCAAAACAGACCTCAAATATCCCCAATTAACTTGGAAATAAGAGGACTTCTAAAATCAGGCGTCCACGAGACTTGGTTAATGCAGGAGTTCAATTGTGGATGGAGATAAACAAGAAAGCTACAGCTCTTATTATCTTGCCTATGCCTCCACTGAGACGTATAATTGACATCAACCCATCGTCACTTGCAACTTATCCAGTTAGCTATATTTTCACAAAATACTAAGATCTGATCTCTTTAAAATATACCCTTCTGGATACTTCTAGGTCCTTGTGCTAATCACATAGATTCCACCATCTCGAGGTAGAAACCAAGGCACTAGACTCGAAACTGGTAAGCGGCGAGAAGTTACAAATTGGTGAATGAATTAAACTAGGTAGAAAGTGAACAACTCGACGACTGGTAAAAACTAGCAAACAAATAAAAACCATTATTTATTATATTCCTTACAAGTTAGAGATCCATTGACGAAAAAGGAGACATTTTCAACCTGATCAAAGAAAACAGATAACAGAGAAAGGAAATTCGACCAATCAGTAAGAAAGTTTCTACTCAACAGCCATAATGAGTTTTCCTATCAATTCATTTAAGGGAAATCAAGGGGCCATGCAAATTGGTTGAAAATTAAGATAACCCATAAGAAATAAGCCGCAAAACACCACACACACACACACACTCCTTGTACTTACCGGCTGTAACCGCATCAGTAGCCCTTCCTTCCTCTTGCATGAGAGAAGCAGCGTCAGCAGAGGGCGCAGTAGTCGACGCACCCCTAGGGTTATACACTCTAGGATGCACGAGTCTATGTTGCGTTGTGGAATCAAAGAGACTTGAATCTAGCCCGATGCTGCTGGCATTGCGTCTAGCCGAACGAATGCAATTAAGACTGAGAATACGAACTGCATTGGAAAGAATCTTGTACTTGGGAACAGAGCAATCTTGTAGAGCAGAGAGAAGACGAAATTTGAGATCATTTAGTGTTGGTATGCTCAATCGGGGAACAATGTCATAACCAAGAATGATGGAAACGACGAACGGTTTGCAGTAACGCGCCATTTTTGAGCTTTAAAAAATAGAAAAAATGTAGGTGATAGAAGAAAAATTAACAAAGTTCGCGTATTAATCATGCGTAGGAACTCACATGGCAAGACATACCCTTAAGTGTAAAAGAAACTTACTGATGGCTAAAGGCGTACAGCAACCCTTTCAATAACCAAAACTAGGAGCTTGGTGAGAATCAAAACATGTTGAAGATATAAAAGACGTCTACCACTATGCACGTGACCAGAATAAATCTGGATATGTTTATCAAATTGACAGAGGCCTCTGCAATCAACAGAGCTTCCCATTGCCTGCGTTTCATTATAACCTTGCTATTATCTAACTCCGACGCACTTTAGTTATCCGTTAGAGTTTTTTAGTAAAAAAAACCGAAAACATCTGCATAAACAGTATCCACGTAATCAAATTACCGACTTTAGACTATAGAAGCTTGGAATTGTTAGTGAAGTGCTCGCCTGATGAGGCTAAAATCATCCTATGCTAGCTACTGACATTATCAATATAATAGTTAGCAATAAGAAGTTCAACTCATAGGCCACAAGGGATTACAGTAGATTAACTCCTTATTGAAGATATTCAGTCTCTCCACTGATCACGGGTGCAATATACCCAATAGTTGACATAATTTAATTACCTTTATTATTTGAAAAGCATTTCAATGGTACATATGGTAAAACGACGAAATGAAGGACCTATGGTCGAAAAAATTGGAACAACGTCAAATACAACACCACAAACTCACAATTCTACCGATTTAAAAAAGGTAGTATAGTTATTTTAGATTGCAGTTTTCACCAAACTAACCTCATAAGACCCAGCGGAGGACTGTAAGCATACGCTTTGACTTCAGGATAGAGCTTTTTCAACAGCAGGGCCAGAACAGATGCAACACCTGCACCCAGACTATGGCCACAAATAACTAGGGGGTAATTCGGTCTATGTGCTCTAGCCTTCTCAATCAACTGGCCACGAAGGATCATGTCACGAATATTGCGAGCAGAGGAGAGCATTCCCATGTGAACGAAGAAGTCGGCGTGGTCTTCCACAGGGACATCAGAAGGGATTTCATCAAGGGTGAGATGGTTACCCTCAATCAGCATATCAACGATTGCATCTTCCACTGACAGGGTCCCACGAATGGATACAACAATGGATTCCGATTCGTCATCAAAGGCAACGAAGAAAGGAGATTTGTATACCTATAGGTAGACCAATGGAACACAGGTAATCAAATGTGTATTAAGAAGTAATCGAGAATTCAGCCGATTTGAAACGCAATAACTGTCAAAAAAATGGTGGCTATTTAGAAGATAATTTATGGCCTGGAATTTGAGCCCCGATAGGGCGAGCCAGGAGTGATTGTAAAAAGTTTGCATAGTAGATTTTATCTTCATGGCGTAAGCTACTGTTAGAGTATTCAAAGCAAATACAGCAATAATAACAGTAATCCAATAATACATCTGTGTAACGAGCAGAAGGATGCTATTTCTAATCGTTTTTAATTAATTTACAGCAGTAAAATGAGTTTCTAGCCACTTTCTAAATGCAATCAAGGATATAAGTAACAAAGACACGAGAGGGCAAAGTATGTTACGAGGGGTGGTATAATGAAAAGAAGTTCTGATGGGTACCACTTTGTAAATTCAATACAAATCATTAGTCTAACAGTACTCAAATTATCTGTCCACTGAAAGACCGAGCCAAGTTTGAATGAATTAGTAAATTACTGATTTTGGTAATTAACCTAACCAGTTGGATGGTTGAAAAACATTAATTAGAAATGCAATGTTTCAATATCTGAAATAGTAAGTATTAGGGTTCAATACCTAGTCAGCAATGCCGGCGTCTCCAGATTAACTGTGGTCTTTGAAAATGGATGGTGTTAAATCCGAAAATGAAAACAGAATTCCGACGAATCAGCACTTACCAATTACACGACAAACAAGACCTGTTTAAATTCTGAAAGGAACGACAAAAAGCAACGCTCTGAGAACTGAAAGAAAACTTGCACAGATTTACTTGAAAAAAATTGAGTCATATGGCTATGATGAAGTTTTTGTGAGAGAATTATTCGAACATTGCGAACGAATTGTTAATATCAAGTAAAAATAGGAACAAAGCAAAAATGTGATAAAAGTAATCTTAAATATAAAATAGGTATATTGTGAAAGAGTTGCAATCAGAATAGTCGAGAAAGGTTTTTACTACAGACTCGATTAGCTAATGCCTCTACTCACTCAACAACCCCGTTAAAGAAGCAACCTGGTTGTAAACCCTCCCTACCAAGAGTAACAAAAAGTGCTTTCTAACAGTGCACCAACTGGGTTTTTCTTATGTTGACTCGACGACTACTAGTCTTCCCCATATATACATTTGGACTAGAGTAGGGTTAACACGCATATGGAGGGCGTTCGGAGGCAGAACCCACAAAAGTCATGAAAATTGGCTGACAAACATTTTCCATTTTTCTCTGAGATTTGACAACGGCTGAATTTGCCTTCTGTCACACATATGACCCAACATTGTCCACACGTGTACTATTACTCTGTCTCTAACTACTTCACTGGCCAATAATTCCACTTAGACAACCGAATTCAAACTAAGCTCCTTTTCAATCAACTTCGAGGGAGATACCACTTCACCCTCGAGAGCAGGAAGACACATCCACAAACTATCACGATTTTACCAATTTACCTCCATGACTCAGACAGTGTCCTTTTCACTCAATCCAAACCAGCCAGTCTCTTGTTCTTCCTCTTCTGCTCTCAACTTGGCAAAGGTCTGCGCCATAGATATGAACCACTTTGTTTGTGCTCCAGTAAGATGAGTCAAGTTGTTCAGAGGTTTCTTCGCCTCTGTCATGACAGTTTCGCTGGCCATTTCTCTGGCAAACCCACCTTTGCAATGGTTGTACGATAAGTAGTAGAGGTCTTCATTCATTACAAACTTCATGCTAGAGGCTAAAACACTCCATCCACACTGGCAACACAGATGCTCAAAATGCAATGCCATGGTGCTCCAACACTTTCGTAACCCATTTATCCACTAAAAGCCCTTGTGTGGGCGCAACCAGCTCAAATTGTCCCTTTCCAAGCTTTGGTCTAGCCACCCCAACCCCGCAGTCGCCATTACAATCTTTCACTTCGTGCCGGATTCTTTTAACTTTGATCAGGGGCATTAACCCATGACATTATTCACTTTATTTTGATGGTCGGCAGGAATCGTTAAGATATCGGTTAGTATCTTTCATGATTCATTAACACCTTTACCACATCAGAACACTTGACCCACGCTAAAGAAAAACTCACGCACTGTTACTTTTATTTATGATCGACCAGAGCATGATCGCTAGCATGTGAGGAGGAGAGAGAACTTACATCATTTGAAAATGAGTAATATACAAGGCTCTCCAAAGGCTTATCGGTGATTTCCTGATATACGGCCAAATTACAGATATCGTATCGACATATGCAACAGCTCATTGCAAATGTGTGCGGTTGATAGAAGAATGGACTAGTCTCCGAGTCGTCTTCACGTTGTCTGAACGTAAAAAGAAAGGACAAATAAGTATGCAGAAGTTTTAGGTTAACATTCCAACTTCCTTTCTTTTGTATACTAAAATTTCAAAGTCCTAGATACTTAGATTTTCTGAATACCAAATAAAAGAACGCATTTTATTGAAGATATTCAGTCTTGGTCATTAAATAAATGTTAAATACTAAGGTTTCTGACAACTATAGCACGTTTAACATCGGTTCATCGTGATACGTGAATTCTGGAAGCAAAAAAACAAGTTTTAGCGGCCAAATAAACAATCTATACAGTACCATTAAGAAGTTTAAGGTAGCCACAGTTAGAAGTAGGAGAAAATTAACCTTGTATAGTGACTGCAAGGTGTAAAACAGTGATTTTGGGGTTTGGATATCACAGAATAACATCAAATAACTGAACTAAGTTAAGACGAGCCAATGAGTTGAATATTACGGACTGAGTAAAATGTTCCATCAACTTTAAGAGCCTGATCAGAGAGAAATCCAAAGGTATAAATTCAAAACCTGTTTGGAAAGTGTGGGAATCAAATCGGACGATTAATCCCCCATTGGTTGAAGACTGAAGGACATCCAATTAAATAGATGTTTACCAAATTCAACCCAGTCCCTCGAACATTTTGAAGAGAAAGTTTAAAAGTAAAGTTAAGTCATAAGATACAATTTCATATAACGCCAGAATGAACGAAATACCAATAAAAAATTCAGGTGAAGGTCTCTAGCCACACTGGTTGTGAAAAAGTACCAGCCACTCTAACCTATTAAACTGCTATAAGTCCAAAACACCCTGATTTCTCTACGGCTTCAAAAAACTCACAAATTGGTTTGTTAACTTCATGATGTGTGAAGAAGAGCATACAAATTCACAAAATTCATCTTTAAAAATCAGCTCTCGTCGATCAAATTCGACTCAAATAGCACAAATCAAGATAAGGTGCCAATTACAACTCCATATCGAGGAAATCTTTGTCCACCCATTACACGATTTGAGTGAAAGGAAAAGTCCGTTCAACAAGCGCAGCCAGATGATGTTGAGGCAGAGAGAAATACCAAAGCGTAAAAGTAAATGCCACAGGCAGAAAAGCAAGTGAAAAAAAGAAAAGACATGGTCTTTGAACAACAGCTCCTGCAATTGTAGGAGGCCAGTATGATCCCTTCAAATTCCCTCGCCATAAAACTGCATTAGTGGCATCAGATTGGTCAATAAATATTCCACTACTGAAATGTAGGAGGATAAATATAAAGCCTATGGGCGATAAAAGAGCATTTAAAGAGCCATAATTTGCGCGCAAGTCTCAGTGAGAGGAAGGGATAATGACATTGGGGGGAGGGGGAGGGAGAGGGGGGGTATCAATTGCTTGATATAGTAGAAAAACCTCAATCCAGTCGATTATGGCTTGGAGATGATTAGTCTGCAAGTAGAAACTTAAATATATGCCTCATCGAACAGAGACAGCGAATGAAATACTTAAATTCAGTACACAAAAAATAAAAGCGCCATGACGGCCATCATGCTCTCTTATAACCAAACGAAAAAAAGGCATATAAACATGTACACAAGAAAACCTGTTAGCAAGCAGATTTAGATAGTAAACGATGAGATTTAAAACGCATGCAATAGCACTATACCTGCATAAAACAATATAATTTGAGTAGTTGATGGGGGGGGGGATATATGCCAAGGATAGTAGATGTAGCATTCAGTGAATACAACTAACTCGAATTGTAGATCAATGATAGACATACATATTACTCAGAAATCAATATATGCCATTCCAATAAAATTCGAATGTGACTATTTTAGAAATTCGGAATTTATTCAAACATGCACAATAATAATACTAATCGACAAAGAAAAGGCACGATGAAGATTATAGACAGAAGTATTTGAGGCGCAAACGGTAACTGAATGTTCGCAACGAGAGATCACTTTCTAATTGATCAGATGCGAGCTTGACATTTACTTCAACTCCAAATGATTCAGAGAGCAGAAATAAGTGATTAAACAGGGAAATCGACTTCATTGTAATATTACCAAATTATTTATTTAGATCATCACCGATCTCTGAAGCCTAATTATCAAGACCTCACAGCACTGACCCAATGTTACCTGTAGACAACCTGCGTGTAACCTCAAATAGTTTAACTATTTGGCAAAAGAAGCCACAGCGTCCGTTTTTCACAACACTGATGTCCGAAACTGTTCACTTTGTTTACGCTACTTCTTCTTCATGACACTCCATCAAAAAAGCTTGTATTGGGTTGGCAACTAAGTCATTGCCGTTTTTGTTGACGGATTCACTCTATACTTTCTTTTGTTTTGTTAACGTGGCCAGAGCATCTAACCTATATTTTTTTCTTACTGTATGGGCTTCTAGGTTAATTAGTAAACAATCTTTTTTGTTTAGTTCTTTAGTTTTGTTTTTATCCCAATTTAAAAATGAAAGAACAGGACGTGCACTTCCGACACATCTTATTGTATTACTTCCGAAAAGGCAAGAACGCATTGCAAGCACAAAAGAAGTTATGTGCCGTATATGGAGATGAAGCCTTAAAAGAAAGGCAGTGTCGAAATTGGTTTGAAAGATTTCGTGATTCCGGTGATTTTTCACTGAAAAATTCACAACGATCTGGCCGCCCAGTCGAAGTGGATGAAACCCATACCAAGGCCATTATCGATTCAAATCGTCACAGCACAACACGAGATATTGCAGAGAAGCTGCTCAATGTGTCGCATACATGCATTGAAAAAAAATTAAAAACCCTTGGTTATGTCGAGAAACTTGATTTATGGATCCCTCACCAGTTAAAGGAAATTCATTTGACGCAACGGATTAGCATCTGTGATTCGC